GGGGGGGGGTCGCATTACGTTATCAAATTATACTACGTTCTCGAACTCTACACATATGGTGGATCTACCTACTGTTATAGACCAATTAAAGAACTGTGGTCATGCACATATAGAATATCAGCATAACAACGACACTATGAAGGCCATGCTAGTTTGCTACATTAACAAGACATTTACAGAGTAAGCAATGAATTGTAACATTTAAAGCAAAGATATTATTGCTCGACGACCCAACAACGCACCCGAGCAGGCCAGTGAGGGAAGCCTTTCATCTTGGCAAATATCTTGTCTCCTGGTTTATAATCGTCCTTCACCATCTTCAAGTCGGTTTGTGGTGCCGAACGTGATTACAAATGTATGAAAATGGCGTCAGACAGCCTGCTTTGTCAGAAAATAATAAGAGACAAATCTACGTACATGGCACAATAAGGAAACATTCCGGACTCATATTTTAAACTTATACAAAATGTCGACTGGCGATATAAATTCAAACTGCCAATGCATCCGGTGAAGTGATGGAAATTGCTAATTTGCGTTGGTCCGCATCCCGCTAATGTAGGCAGCCATCTTCGTTTGGATATCGTAATGTCACGCGAGATTTCCATGGTTTGGCGGGAAGTGGTAATCTTAAAACATGAATGTCCTTGTTCAGTATCAAGGAGTTTTTTAATGTCACAATTGAAATCATATGTGCAGTAATATAAAACAAAGGTACCTGGTTTAATTGGAACTACTGATGCACGATATACACCGTCCAAAGATTTATGTTACGGTTACGCCTTTGCCCCAACAAATCTACCACAACACAGTTATGCTTATGTGATTGCAACTGGGGCATTCAGGGTAACTAGTGTTAAGGATGTACACCTCTGAGAAGTCAAAAAATACCTGTATTAAACTTTTTTTCATATATGGATGTTTTTTGGAAAAAGGAGTTAATGTCATAGTAGAAAATGCAAAAAAAAAATATATGTCCGTGCGTTCGTTTTTGTGCTATGATCGGTCAAGGGTACCAATTTAACGCAACATGTGATCATAGTTTTAGGTGATTTTATGGGGTTTTGACCATTTGCAGAACAAATTCATACAATTTCTTCCGAGTGTGTTATGAGATATGTATGAATGTTTGTATAATTAATGAAAATATTATTTTCTTTTAAATTATGGCAGTAAAATTTCTTAATCTTATTATTTTAATTCAGAAAGCTGATTTTTGTTACCCCTACCTCCTATTTTTTTAATGAAAAAATACATTTTTTTACCATTTTTTGCTGATTCAACGCTTGATATACTAAGTTCTGCTATTAAACCTTTTTTTTAATATTTAATGAATTAAAAGAAAATGTGTTTCTCTTTGTAAAACATCCACAAAAATGGGGGGGGGGGGGGGTGGGTCCGTGTGCTTCTTTTTTTGTCCCATTATCATTTGTGTTATTTTTGACCTTTCTCGGGGTCAAAAATCAAAAGTGCTTCAGTTACACTAAACATGTAAAATAATATCAATAATGTATAATTTTCCAGTTTGTTGCATATTATTTTTATCGTATTTGAACATTATTAAGTTGTACAGCAAAATTGAACCTGCTACAATTAAAAATGGCGACACAATGACAATTTAAGTGATCAATCTAGTGTTAAAAGAAGGTGAAATTTTGGCCTTTTTTGAAGCGCAAGAAATACACATTAATACACATTTTTAAAATGGCCGCCGAATTGGCAATTTTTTATAATTCTTCAGTGTAAAAAATGTTCTACAAACAACAGGCATCTAGTTTTTTTACATTTTTTTTCAGTCTATGCGTGTTTGCTAATAAACTTGATCATAATTTGTTTAATATTACAAAAACCCGTTACATCTGATCAAAACGAGACTTGAACGTGATTGAAACCTCAGAAGAGTACATCCTTAACTTGCCGGGCCTAGAACTTTTTTGTGTGCTCTAGATCTGTGATTCTGACACCCAAAATGTCAAGCCTTTATTGCATCAGAAATTGTTGTAATTTTCACAATTCATACGTCTCTGATATAAAGTAACAGAAAAAGGATTTATCAAAATTAACGTAAAGGAATTGAAAATGCTTTTTTTAGAGCCTAACTCTAAGTTGTGATCAAGGAGGCAGGTCCTAATGGAAACACCTCTTAAATTTTGATCATCTGTATTTAATTAAAACATAGAGGTCACATATGGCATGGGCTTCACGATTAGACTTTTCTGCAATATATTGTGGTGTTTTTTTTTAGGTCACCTGAGACAAAGTCTCAAGTGACCTATTGAGATCGCCTTTTGTCCGTCGTCGTCCGTCGTGCGTCCGTAAACAATTTACATTTTCGACTTCTTCTCCAAAACCCCTGAACCAATTTCAATGAAATTTTGCAGGGACCTTCCATGGACAAAGGTCAACAAAAATAGTGGCCGGTTTAGTCCCAAGCCCCCAGGGGCCTGAGAGGTGGGTCCAAAAAGGGTCAAATTGACTAAAAATTCAAAAATCTTCTTCTCCAAAACCCCTGAACCAATT